CAAATCAATGTCCGTATACCTTTTTTTCTATTCAGTCCTTCTAGCGGTGGTATGATGTTTCTAATACATACCCGCTGATGTAGAGTGATATGCAAAACTTTCGCGTCAGGACTAGAACCCGCACCTCGCTCCTTCCGGGAGCGCATGCTCTATCCGTTACACTACTGACGCCCATTTTGCACACCACTCTTTCTGCTCTACAGCGTTCGAATACTTCCCCTTTGAAGCATTATAGGCTCGATCCAACTGGTCGCAGTAGAGTTAGACTTTGAGAGCTCGACTATTCGGAACAAGCTTGAGATGTAAGCATCCTTCAAAGTTTCCCCAAACGCAGATCATGACCTTCTCGCCGAAAGGATTTTGACGTGCAACTCTTGGCCGAACCCGGTGTTTGATCCGATCGCGATCGGCCAGGTAGACCCAATTTTCATGGCTCACAGTTCCTTCATCTTCGGCACCACAGATCTCTTTCACAGCATCTCTTACCGAAAATTGTCATTTCCACCAATAGCGTATTAAAACTCGGAGCCCATTTTCCGCATCGTCATCATTTTATTTCCTGAGGTTCATTCAAAATTTAATGCAGTGCAACTGCAATTGCCGTGAAAGTTTCTCATTGAAATATTCCGGAGATGTTTTCATGGATTTACATTATCTACTTCACAACATCTCTTGTCGAAAGTTGTCATCTCCACCAATAGCGTATTAAAACTCAGAACCCAATTTGTGCATCGTCATTTTATTTCCTGAGCGTCAGTCGAAATGTGATGCAGTGCAACTAAAGTTCTTGTGAAAGTTTTTTATGGAGATATTTTTGAGATGTTCTCATTGATTTTCGTTAGCCGATACTGTGTGAAATAGACCATTGAAATTTTGCGGTTGTAGAGGACTTTTTCTCAACCTAGTACCAAGCAATTTATTGGTGCACTTTTCCGCCTTAAATATTTATCTATTCCAACTGAATATGGCCCGCAAATGATATACTTCTATGACAAACCAAGCATAAAATTTTCTGCACCCCACACTCAGCTCTATACAAACTATAATCCGACAGTGAACACAAACGTTGCGACCACGATCAGCTATAAACCAACGGCGTAGGTCAATCCGGTTTGGAGAAAATGAATACCTCACGTTAGCTCTTCAATAGGATGTATAAAAATTATCTTTTAATTAAATCTTAACCTCGTGTCAGCTCAATAATCGAGAAATACGTCAAGATTCTTCCAGCATCTTGATATATTAAGAAAGTTCTTATTGCTGTACATCAAATGTACGATCACGAGGTTTTTTTGCGATTACTAGTGAGATCGCTTGTCAATTTTCCGACTGTTCATCAATTGTAGGTATGGATGCTTCTGATGTTAGCTCATATTTCAAAGAAGATGGGAAGTGATTTCGCGAATTAGGCATAAAGGGAGTGAAATCGTTTATTAACAGATTAAATTCACTAGAATTTTGCGAACTGCTCATATCTTCACCGCAGAATGATATTCAGTGATTAGATTAATCTTCGCTGATTTCAACAAGCTACTTTACCCTAGTGTAGTAGCTGGAATGACTAATACAAATATCCAGTAGTGTTGAGTGATATGCAAAACCTGGAGCGTCAGATGGGAGACGAACCCATGCATTACCCTTGACGGAGGCGAGTGCGAAGCGAATGCACTATTGAGACTCCGGTTCTACGCTCACTTCTTCTGCCATACAATGTACGAACTTTCAGCAACTAAGCGTCAATGATTTGGCCTGCTAATCAAATATCGGCTTTGAACACAATTACGCTGACAGATATGGGATACATGCAGTCAACAAGAATTCTTTGTCTACTTGTTTTTTATCAAAAAATTCTTTTTCTACATATGTCCATTATCTGTCAGTGTAACTGAGCTCAAGTCCGATATTCGCTTACCATGCCAAACCGTTTACAGTTGATTTCTGGCAGATCGATATCCTGTATCGTAGAGTGGCAAAACAGGAGCCTCGATAGTGCAATAGCTTAACACAAGCTCAAAAGTGAAAAATGGGTGCGATTTCCGTCTGAGTTTGGAAGTTTTGAATATTAGCCTAGCCTATAATATATTAGCCTAATATATTAGGATAGCCTAGCTGTGACGTTTCATAAGGAATTCGTTGTTGACTGTGAGAGGGTGCCGGCGATGGGTATCGATGTCGCGCGTGCTGCGGCAATATTGCATTCACTCGATTGCGGCGCTCTCACACTATATATATATATGCATAAAGGATAATCTTGGCGTTTGTCATTCTACTAGAGATGCGTCATGCATTCGTCTTCCATTTTCTACGTCGTTTGAGGTGATCGAATGCATATTTAGCCTTTTTAATAACTCGCGGTGGTCTACCGCTCTATCGAGTTAGTGCTGCATATCCTCCCAGACAAGCCTGAGACCTGTCTAGCACCAATTTAGCGACCAGGGAGATATAAATGGCTTCGTGAGCTATGATCTCGAAATCGAACCATCGACTTTGTGTGTAAATCAGAGCACTAACCACTGTCCCTCATGCGCTCGCTCTTTATATACATATGTTATGCATACTCATGTATATGTATATATATATTATATATATATATGTATTTGTACTATGTACATTGTATATACACACTTAGTTATATGAGCGTAATCTATAATTTTGCATATATATATATATATATATATATCGTTTCTGGTACCTATAGAGCTAATAATACGCACTTGGTTAACTTAGAACACATTTGCGGAAAAATCATCATTTATGGCCATTTGCCCAAATGCACTCAGACGGCGGCATCTATTATCCGAGTGAAGTCATTAAGTTGAAGGTATCTATTCAAAAATCCTTTAGTCTGCTTCCAAATAAGTGGATCCTTTGCACACAAAGCTGAGCGCCATTTGTAGGACAAGATGAACATGGTGATTCAAAGCAGCTCGAATAACATTGACGATTACCTCGTCTATCAGGTTCACGTCTGAAGGTTTTCTTAGTACACTTTTATAATAATAATTTGAGAATAATCATGATATGTTGGCATTGTAAAATTTTTTATGCCTTGGAAGTGAAGTTGAGGAGCTCTAAACTCAACATTGTCTTAGGCGCACAAGGTCGCCCAAAATGCTCTCGTGAATTCCAATTTTTTGCTACAATATTCCATTTCCAACATCTCAGCCTTTCATGAACGATATCTTGAATAAATTGACACAAAATCATTGTCGTTTCGACCCATATGTTCTGTGGAAACTTATATATTATCCTCCTGATTTATTCCGTTTCTTGAAGTGACAGTGATACTCGAACACTTGAATGGCTCGTGTTCACTTATAGTGCGGTTACAGCACAGTTTTAATCCGTCTCTCTCTAGCATAATCGTTGACCATGACCGTGGTTGAACTCAGGCATAGTGACGTCCGCGAGGCCATTTCCGTACTCCTAAACTCGTTTATATTCGAGAATACAGATAGTTGACATTGAGCACAGACACGTCCACCCATCGCTTGGGTGATCTTCCAAGAAGGCGCTTAGTTTTCTACATTTGTGAAGTTATTTTCTATATCTTTTGCTCATTATTATTCATTTACTAATTCCGTGTTTAGCTACATTTTCAACCTCTTTGATTCACCTGCTCGATCCTTTCTATTCAGTAGATGGCATCATTAATTCAGTTTATTTACTCAATCCGCAACTATTTTAGCTCTCATCCATCGTTTCGGAAATACTTGGGTTCATTACCTCGTTGAATTTGCACGATCCATTGTGCAAGGTTTCAAGGCAAGCCGCTCCAGAATTTTTCAAGGAATTCCGATTCTACGGTCGTGGCACCAGATGAAAAACCGATGTGTAAGTCGCGTCCACTGATAGAGAGAATATATAACCTAATTTCATGGTCAGGCCTCAGGTAAGTTTCACTAAGTAAGTAACATTTCGTGATCTCTAATTGTGATAACTATCAAATAACACGAATAAGCAATAAAAGACAGTCTATTTCTTCCTATCATTCCCATAACCATGCAAGCTATTACTATACATCTGAAACAACATCACACATTTTCGTCATCTTTTGGGAGAAGGTTTCTTAGCGTAGCTCTTCAAACCCGTCTTGAGGATAATCATGCACCCTGGACGCTTGCCCAGCTCTTTAAAGTAGGCATAAGGTCTGTATGCTGTTATCAATTTTGAAATGCCTTACATGTACTGTCTGAAAATTTGACAGGAGTCCATTGCATCAGTCGACATGGAAAAACAATCCTTATACACATGAACATATTCATCCATCGCGATCAATAAGCATTCGCAGATCTGTGAGCCTGAACTTAATAAGATACAGAGCTTACTTTTTCAACTCATATATTATGTCACACTTGAGTAATGTCGAAATTGTTTACGACGATTTGTTATTGCTAATGCGAGATAACAAAGATGGAGATCGAGCTATGAGGATATGCTCTACGGTTTGGATAAGTTGTAATAGGAAATGGGAGTACGAGCTAATCCCTGTACTGCTCCATGAGCTGGTCTAAAATTGTCTTTATAGCTGAGATCTCTCAACAATACATCCAACTGACGATTCTGTCAGTTCAAATAACCCAAACGTCCTGCGTGAAAGATTCAATGCTCCTATGTCAATTGAATCCATCTCAGTGCCTGTAGCAATTACTAGTGCTACACTACAGTCACACTGTTTATCCAGAAATTGAGCACAAAGATAGAATTAACGAAACCTACGCTACCGAACGGTTACTTATAGTTCCAGGGTGCACTTCTGTCGAGTGAGAATATCCGTGTGTAAAACACAAATATTTTCCTCTGGTTACAGCGTTAAGAAGAAGCTCTATCATAAAACAGCCTCGTCGCGCAATAACTAGAGATTTGAGCATTTGAATGATTATTAGAAGTCCAATGGAAAATCTTCAGGTAGTGAAAGAGGTCGTTTCTTCATTTGTTTCCGGATAACGGGAAAGAATGAAAAGTAAAACTGGCGTAAATAAGAGTGCTGTGCAAAACGAGCGTCGGTAGTGCAACGGTTAGCATACGCTCCTGGGAAGAATGAGATTTGATCTTCAATCCCGGCTGACGCAAACATTTTTGCACAGCACTCCACATATTGGGTATACTACAATATTACACCACTGCAAGTGGCAGTGGAAATAAAAAGAATTCAAAATGATTTAATGTAAAAAACGCGTATAAAGCGCCGATCCAACGTATCGTTCCAGTTTACATGATGTTATCGGATTACTTATACTCATGCCCACTGGACAGAGGCTTCTGGCGTGCCATGCCCTCTTCACAGCTACTCAGTTGAAGAGGCACTAATATGAACTTCAGCCGGCATAAGCATGAATTCGATTCGCAAAGTATGCGGCTAGGAGTACATCTTATACATACACGATATCAATCGTCAACTTTCGACTGTTAATAGTGGAAGTGGAAGTTTTATAACAGCACAAATACTGGTTAGTAGCTTAAACATCATTGGCATTATAATAGGACTCTAGCCTTTGAGATATTAAAGACAAGACGACTTATATGGCACATCTGGAGTCGAGACGTCATTGTGCATTCCTTGTGTGCAATAATTCACATTCGCGTCGTTGAACGCAGTACAAGGCATTGATTCATAATAGGCAAACTCTTAAGATCTAAACATTGCTATCAGTTCGACGAGTCGTAAATCCTGTTGGGTGTAGTATGGATGAATGGCGCGTAGCCGACAGATATCACTCGGTTGGTTGAAAACAGTCAATTTTGTTGAAGTTGACGTTTACTGTCTAAACTGTCGGAATTGTGTACGTGTCTTTCTCGGAACAATAACTGTGCAATTTGACAAGCAGTATATGAAGAAGCAAGTTGGTGCACTAATCAGAGCAAACGGAAAGTTCTTTTTGACTCCTTATTCTGTGCTTCAAGGCTGAGACGCAGTATTGTGGTTGCCAATTGCTAATGCGATTTAATGTAAGCACACCAATTTGAGAGGCTTCTTGACACTGTCGCTAGAATATTGGATGACTGAGCCATTTTCTCGTGCTGCCACTAACGATTTCTTTTCAATGCCGATCCAAGAGATTATAAAAGCATAATCTATGCCATAATCGCGCGAAAAAATACCGCAGCTTAGATTTGTTTAAGTGATCGCTGTTATCAAATGGCTTATTAACAACAATATGTTGTCTCATCAAGATCACAGAAATCTATTGACATTGCTGAGGTTGAATGAAAGTCAATTTTTGAAATTACATCTGCCTTCTAATTTTCTCATTAAAAGTCAATTATAGAAATTCGTGAAATATTGCACCTATTCTCTATTTTATTCTCAAGATAACATAACTGCCGACTTCAGAGAGCTGGTGGTCTTGATCTACATTTACTTCTTGCAGCACATATGACATCTTACCCCTAACAAGAAGAAATTTCAGATCAGTGGAGGACGCCACGCACGGCCATCCTTCACAAAAAGGGTAGCCGAAGGGATCTTCATAATCATATTTTGACATGCTTATTGAACGTAATTTATAAATTCTTTACAAAGATTGTTCTTGTGTGTATATCAAAACACTGGATGAGGAACAGTTAGATGAGCCAGGGATCACATCTAATTCGTGTCGAACGTAGTATACGCTTGTGAGGCTTACTACCTGCCCTTAACCCTAATTTTTATCTACTATGAAAATGCAAGTGAGACCGTCGAGACGAATGCCGTCTTATCCGCGCTTGTCCATTATGGAGTGAACCCGTCCCATTGAGAAATCTATCAGGTTGTTATCGGAAATGAAACACAAAAATAGAGCTATTCGCTGACCTTTTACCATGATCATTGAAATATGGGTTCAAAAAGGTGATGAAATATCCTCAAAGCTGTTCTCTGCCTCACAGCAGCCTATGACGAAGTCGTTCGCATGGGGCGGGAAGGACCTGCGCATTGAGGGAAATTTCCTATCGAATCTTCGCTTCGCGAATAACAACGCCGTAATCTCGAAAAACATCAATGAAGCAGAGACGATGTTCGAGGACAACGAAACTGCAAAGAAGATGTCACTACCTTTATTCACATGAAGATCCAGCTCATGAAAAACCAACGGTGCGCTGAAGAACATTTCAGACCAGATGATTTTATGATTACGGAGAACTCCTCCTACGTGAACCTTGATCGTTCACTAAATATGCAGAGCAACAGTGAACGAGGGCTTTGACAGAAGAAGGAGAGCGACGTTAGCCGAATTTGGGTCTCCCAAACAAGACATCCACGAATAGCGGACTCTAAATTACGCGTTTACCTTTTCGATTCAACAGTCCTCCCAACGCTTTGCTATGCAGTGGAGACTTGGGCTGATACTTTAACCACGTCAGTACTACTGTGAACGACTAATAGAACGCTTGAACGATGTCTTGTGAAACCCAGTCTGCACTTACAGCACCTAGCCAGCTGCAGCTCAGATCTCACCAAAAGCAACCACGTTTTGTTTTCGCTAATCGGGAGAACATGCATCAATGTGGAGCACAGGTGGTGCGGCTATATAGTAAGAAGGTCGGACGACATATGAGTGACTGTAAAGTGGACTCCACGAGATTATGCCACTTCTCAAGGACGACCACCTACACTTTGGGCAGATGTGTTCATTAAAAGATCTAATGAGTTGTACTTGCAGCTGCCGGTGTCTTACAGACCACGATATGAAGCTTGCGCCAGCCGCTGTGCTCGAAACAACCCACCACCATGGGCAATAATTGAGAGAGGGAAAAGGGGCAGAAATGTGCTACAGTTCGCTCAGTTAGTAGAATCGGACCGTCTAAGTATCTATGTATCCAAGTAGATAATGATAGATTTCACTTGGGAGTCACTTTGTTACCGTATGACTCAAGCAGATATTCTTTTAAATGAACCATTTTGTGCATAATCCGGAGGAAGTGCGACTCGCAGATAATTAATAATGATTGGCTATTTTAGAAAGTCGTGTATCGAGATGTTCTCGAACGCACGTGATACTGTCTCTTATCGTCGATACGAAGCCACTTCTCAAGCTTATTCCAATCCTTTACTGTACAGCTTTGCTCAGCTCTCAAACTTCAAGCGCTCATTTGGATATCTATTACTGCCAAATCAAATCCGCTGGTTAGTACACGTCCGATGACGCTGTTTTCCTCGTATACAGTCATAGTGTTGAGTATTATTAGTAGTACTGTTATTTTAATAGCAAGCATTCTGTAATCAGTATTAATTTTTTCAGGTGTGTTATTTATTTTTTCTTGTCTCTGAATGTCGAAAATATGATCATTAGTATTACTGATGTTGTAGTATGCATTTCGCTTACAAAAAAAGTTGATGGTTGCCTAATGCAATTGCAATCACCTCATTAAGCGAGGAATACAAAAATTGTAGTCGTAATAGTCATTGCCACCGTCATACACATTTATTTTTGACGTCTTTTATAGATGGGTAAAGTCTTTGCATTAGTGGATGCAGACAATCGTCATGAAGTCGCCGATTCATAGAATAAAGTTACGAAAGTGTAAACAAAAATGATGGAAAAGTTGTTGGTATCAAGATATACGCATGGAAAATGTACTGGCGTTGAGGAAAAAACGATAGTGATTTAACGTCGAGGAGGCTGTTAAGGTATACGATTGCAATAGCTTACCTTACGATTTTAGCCGTATCGCTGTTTCCTCTTGTTTCCACTTCGCCTTCATTTATTTCGCACAAACACTTCGTGAAGATGATCTTCACAAACATCTCATCTTCCAATTCGAAACGTTGGCTATACCTTAGATTTGCAATTTCTGGGCTGTTTTAAGATCGCTAGTGCACGGGATTCGATGAATGGTGACGACATAATGCCTTCTAAAGTAGTTGCTACAATAAGATATTGCCATTTTTTGTCAATTGTAGGCATGGCTGATTCCACGACGATACAATTTTGCTAGGGCAAGACTCGGGGAAAAAGCGGCATCAATTTGAACTTCCACAGCGTTCACTTGAGGCGTTGCTCAGAAACCTCCCCTTATAGAACGTAAAGAAGCCACTTACAGAGAAATCTAACCTATTTTCACCACTTGACAAATTGTGCACTGCTTTATTGTGGTCGAATGATGTTGAGTGATCTGAAGTCTCAAAAATTCCTCCTCTATATTTGAAACAAAGTGTTGTACAAATTGTATATCTGGAACGAAGTTAATAAATAAGTGAATGCACGAAAACTGTTCAAGATAGCAATCGAATTTGAAAGAGTCACCGCCTACCTATTATGTAGTCCCAAGATCACCGTTCTGACTAAGTGCGATTGATACATGCCCGGATATGCGCAGCCTTCAGTTTTTATCCTGTTCACAAACGAAACGACAACTCGATGAATTTTTTAATTCTCTAAAGGGAAGTAAACGAAGTCGTATGAGTTCCGTTGTTAACTTCCATCAGTCCACCGGTCCACTGCAAATTCCAGTACAGATTGTATCTTGGTAGCTTTCACACTTCTTAAACACGTTTTTGTTCACTTCACATACGCAGTGGCTATGTTCGTGGTGATATAAGCATCAGATATTTCTTTTATATAAATATATAAACAGATACTATAGCTAAAGTTACCAGATCACAAACATGGCACTGAAAATTTTGTCGCTGGTATTTACTCATATATTGAGTTTTCGAATTTCTAGGGGAACTAGAGCTTTAGGACTTGTTTTCGAAGAATTTCTCGGTTGTTAGTAAGAAAAAATTCACAAAGCTCAACACAACGTAACATTCAAACGCTAACGCTTCTCGGGAGTCACATCATTGGGCAAACATTAATCAAAAAAAAAATGCAAATAAACGATTACATCTAAACAGATTGGAGTTGACAAATAGTAGTTATTCATACATACGAAATTCTGCGTAAATTATGCTGTAATATACTAGTCTCCTACATAATCCAGTAATTTTCTTGTTAAGCAGATGCGAGGTTACTTTAATGACATTTAATCAATGCAATACTAATGCACCCCAATGATAGTACAATGGCTGCAGTTTTGACGATCGCCTCTTCAGAATCGGGAATGATCAAGTTGATTCACGATTAGCTCAGTCATTTGAGTGAGAGGCTTG